TAAACTCATCGTCATCCTTTTGATATATCCCGTGCAACTTTTTCGCAAACTACATATCTACATAATGTAATCATCTGAGACAGGCCTAGAGCTGTGTTGTTTGATATAGACGTCGTTCGTACTTGACTACGACCATACGCTTCCAGCAAATGGAAATTATACCATTGACAAGCAATCTCGGTGGTCATATAGAGCTGCTTTTCGCGTGCCCCGGACATGTACAATACAGAGTTGACTGCAATGTCAGTATGTTTGCTAAATGACAGAAGCCAGACTATCAATGCAGCCCTGCATATTGAAGCCTTGTCACTGGATTGCTGGATCTCCTGCTTCGGATACAAACGGCATATATAGGAGATGATGTGGATCGGCGCACTGACACCTTCCAAATTTGGAAGTCCTCGAGTTTATGTAATATAAGATCTCCGGCCGGATCCGGGGCTGACCTGAACCTTGGCTCCAAGCGATGCTTATGTAATGCATAGAACGACCCGTGGACCTCGGGAGCCCTGTGGGACCTGTGGGGCGTGCTCAATTTTACTCAGATTAGTGTATATATGGGTACATTTGGGTATACAAATCAGATGGCTTTGAAATACTCATACATCTGCCGGTTCTCTACTAGTTCAGCACTATATCTCAAATTACGCAAGCCCTATCGACTGTCCATATATGTTAGTTGCAGCAAGGCGTGCATGCGTACCCGACGGCCGAGACCTTAGAAATCCACGGGAAAACGTCATACCCTCGAATGAGCAATAACATCAGATGACTAGTAAGGGTATGCAGCTCTGAAAGCCAAGCCTTCCAGCCGCTATCCCTCAGCCCTCGGGCTCTCTTTCTTCTCTAGGCTCCACCGGGCTTGTTTGAAAGTAACATGAGACGGTGATTGCACAAAATAGAGGAGCCAACGTCCCTCGTGTTGCGTTTATCAACGGCCCCCCCTTGCACAGAAATCGGGAAAATGGTGGATGCGGGATTTTTGTACTGCGGTTTTTTGCGGGGGAGGGAATTAACTCCAAGACGTCATTTCTCTATCTCTTTCTATATTGCGTATACAGTTGTCTTACCAGATATGAGCTCGGAGGTGATGTCTTTTATGGCAAGAGAACCCCGGGTTTTCAGTAAGGAGGCGTAACAAAAATATTAACTTTGCTGTCAGCTGTGATAGGGGCTTGGGCTAAGTTTTGATGATTTGATCACATTCCTCTCTTCTATCGTTGGTCTTCAGAACCAACATTTGGTGATTTTTTTAGAATTTGTAACTGGGAGTCAAAATAACTGCAAGGGGTCAATTTGTGGCTGTTCGCCCTTAGTCCCAAGATCCTAGCCGGTAAGGTATCGTTTGGTGCTGATAGGAGAGCAAACCCCGATTGTTGACCGACATTCGCGCAACGAGAGAGTAAGAGAATGAAATATGGCGGAGAATGATCCCAATTAGAAACAGAGTACTACTCCGTAATTATTTCCGGTCTGATTCTACTGGGGAGAGATTATCATATGTTGTAGATCCTTAACCGTTCGCCAATACCCATGGACATTGTATACAACCTACTTGGGAGAAAAAGATGATATCACTTTTATACCATCTCTCGGTGAAAAGGCTCCCGGGGTCAATAGCCAGATTGGCGAAACAGAGTCCACTTTAGCTTCTGGGCTTCCTTTGATTCCAGAGTGGGGGATAGCAGCCCAACGAGCTTCTCCTATTAGTGCGTCGCCATGCGCGCGTCGGAGATTAATTTAGTGGCTTTTCGAGACATGTGGAGGATAGTTGTTTGGAGCTCCTGTTGCCAGGAAATTTCACCCAGGGGTTTATGTTTTTGATGTACAACATAACTTGTGTCGGCACTTCACATGGTATGAATGATCGCCATGGATGTGAGATATCTCCGATCCGCATATTCTTTTCACATAAATTCCCTTTTTTTGTACAGGATACATTAAATAAGATTTCCCTCGTATACAACCCATTACCTCCTAATACTGTCAGTGGCTTAGCCCAAGAGGGGTCTTACATGGGTCAAATCAAAGAGCTCAACAGCGTCATATCAACTCTGAATCGCCAAGATGAAACAAAATGCGGGGTAGTCAGAGCTTCTTAGAGCATCATCTCAATAGTAGAAAATGAGCAAATGGGGGAAAAAAGGGAAACTGATTCTCTTAAACTTTATCCTGAAAGCCATTGTCCTTGCGTGCTCATGCAGCTTACAGCTTTTGAACGGCTTTTTGACTCCCTTTCTGCGTGGATTTTCCTTATAACAAGACGGTGGATTCTAAACATGGTGGACCTTTATTCCGCTATCGAATATGATATGGCCCCCAAAAGTGCCCGTCCCTATCCGGAGGATTCACTCCACAAATGAAATTAGTCCGTGAAAACAAAGAATCCAAAGACCAGGCTCTTGGGTATACATATTTGACTGGTGCCTCATTTCTTTGCATGCACACCGGTTTTTGGTTTTCTCTTGCTTCCGCGTCAAGCTCGCCAGCCGCCTGATTTCGCAGTAGAATATGTATAAATATGTATATGTGCCTCAAGTAGAACATGCATGCTGTGCCGTACCTGATAAGCATACGCCTATATTGTAGCTCGGCTAAGCGATTACCAATTCATCTAGCGTGCATCTAGAGAACCGATGACCGACAGGCTCAACGATAGTCGCAGTTTATCTCTTAGGGGCTGATCGGTGGAGACTTTAATCTTTTGTTGACGGAATTTCCTTTCAAAGGGTTCTAATGTGGACCCAAGCTCGTCTGCAAGTCTGGACCTTTCAGGAAATGATGATGGGCTGTGCAAGCTGTACAGTCCGTACACCATACAATATATAGTAGCCTTTTTTGGGGGGGGTTCATCTACATTCGTCTTTACCACCATCTTTCAAGTAATATATAGTTTTTATTCCAAACATTAGTTTAAATAATCATCTTTTAGTTGATTCTGTTATGTTCGATTACCTCAATGGCTGAGGCGGGCTGCATCCAGTACTCCTAATAGGGAATTCGTGTGGGTCCTCAAACCCGCACATGCTTTGCCTCGTACACTGCGTGCATCATCAAGATCCGGATATATCATGAGTGTAGAACTATTGGTCTGGACACTTCTTTTCCCATACCTAGGTTGTAATATTTGTCGATCACGAAATGAGAAAAAGAAAAGAGAAGCCACAAGGCGTCTGTCATTCCTCCGGCGTAATAAGGTTATAGGATCAGAAGATCGCCACTGTTAAGATGACCGCGAGTGGGTTGCCACGTTCAGCAGTTTACCAAAAATCGCCCCAGCTTCTATTTTTGTTTCGGTTTACTTTTCATTTCATGAGAGATCTAACCCGCTCTGGCATATCTCTGCCTGTAATCCTCACCGCATACGTTGCACGAAGATCGAAGCTTCTTGCGACACCTTTGAGCCTATTGACAATCGAACCCTCCCGGGCCAACCGAGGCTACCCGACGCACCTTGTGACGAGGTGACAGGCTATCTGCTTAATCTTTGATCTGGTTTGCCACCGGAATTTTTAGAGCCAAGATGTGGATAGTAAAGCAAGTAATAGCCATTCGTTTCTCTACCTGGAAGTTTGAAGCCCAGTGATCGACTCCCGGTGCGCCGATAAAAAGCAATTATAATGATTGATGTGCGCTATACGGAGGTACGGTGAAGAGAACCCCTTCATGAACCAGGGCACACACTCTGCACCCAATAAAATTCTATGAGATTGAGAGCATTCCCTGAGAACATTGATATAATTTAGAAGTGGAGAGACGGGAACAGCCCCAACCTTAAGGAAATGGGACCCGAAGCCTTGGGGCTGTTCGGGGTGGACAAGCGGGATGAGCTGGGGTACCTGATCCATCGGGATAGAATCCGAGTTATCGCCGTTGGTGCAGATGCCGCGTCATAAGTTATCCCTTGCAGTTGTTTCTCCATTAACTTGGGTTTTCTTGACTCCAAGTTTTATGCCATATTTCGGCCTTTTTTTTTTTTTTTTTGGTTTGGAAGAGACAGTATTAATAGAGAAATTCTAGACTAGGGTTCTCCGAGGGGAAATTGGTTATAATCTTCACTTCATTTGCTTCCCGGAGAAGATCGTTTTTAGCGTTAGTGACCTTTCTCTCTCATTTTAAAACTAGATCGGAGTAGTTCGGCCGCGGCTAAGGTGGCTTGGCCTAATTATGTTCGAGAATCTTTTGATCCGAATTTACGTGCCTTATCCGAGAATAGTGATTATCCAAGAATAGTGATATTATCCTTTAACTTGGCAAGGAACCCTTTACATTGTAAATTGTATATACTAGTATAGTAGACTAGACAGTGTTATTAAAGGGGGCCAGACTGGGAAGTTTATTCAAGATACGGGGTCACATACAGTGTATTATATACGGTATCATTCTATTCCCAGTCCAGTCTAGCATCTTATCCAGGTCCAGGTGGAGTGGTAAATAAGCTGGTAATGTGGGGGTTTCTATTTTTCAATGGGCTATCGCAATTTCCATTTTCATAAAGAGTTAAACTTACTGTCAACCTTGGAATATATTACCTTGGGTATTAGACGGTTTTCTGATGTGGTACGATTGAGAGGAAAGAGTGTCTACATGTAGAATATTTAGAAGGTCTCTGATAGGTGTATATATTCCATACTAAAAATGAAAAGGTAGGTACCTGGTACCTTCGCAAAAAATAATAAGTATAAAAAAAAAGATATATTATTCCATTAACTAAAAATATAAATAAATAATATCTACGGTCCCATCCGCGCCGTTTTTTTTTTACCCCCTTCAAAAGCTATATATTAAATTACTTTTAATACTTGAGGCTCCCCCCTCTTTATCTTTTGATCTTTATCGTATATATCCCCCTCTTATATTATGCTTTGGATTCGCAACATCCCGGCCCATCCAGCCTGAGCTACTTTTTCTTTTCTTTTCTGCGCATATGCGCTTACGTTCTTCCCCTCTTCCCCCCCTTTTGTCTTGGATTCCCAAATCTTCTCTTTCAGTTTGCAACCATGGCTCCAGGTAGCGGGCGCGACTTTAACTGCTCATGGGATCATTGTGGAAAGGTGGGTGCTTCAGCTCTCTCAAATCCTTTCCATCCTAACCTGATAATTTATAGTCTTTCAATCGCAAGTCAGATCTTTGTCGCCATTATCGCATTCATACCAATGAGCGGCCGTATCATTGCACCGTAAAGGACTGCAACAAGAGCTTTATTCAGCGCAGTGCCTTGACCGTACATTCGAGGACTCACACGGGCGAAAAGCCCCACGTTTGTGACCATGAAGGCTGTCAGAAGGCATTCTCAGATGTAAGGACTTGTTGTTTTTTTGGGAATTTGGGATAGTTGCGCATTTACTGATCTCATATAGTCATCGAGTCTGGCCCGCCATCGCCGAATCCACACTGGTAAGCGGCCATACATATGCCATGAGCCTACATGCGAACGGAGGTAAGTACTTTGGTGGAAATAGTCGAAGCACTATCTAATTGTCTTATTGAAATTGCAGTTTCTGTCGCAAGACCACTCTCACCAAACACCAACACCGCTCTCACCCTCCAGGGAGTTTGACCCGGCCATCCTCGGAAGATGCGACCTCCGAGCACTCTTACCACCAAACGCCTGTGTCGGTCTCAGTCCCTAGTGAGCAGTACATGCTCGCCCAGCAACCTTATTACCCTCAATCGGCGACACCAAGTCATGAGTATTACTCGCCCCAGAGTGTGCCCATGGGCACTGTACCGGTTCACGAAGTTGCCCCTCCGATCGTGTCCCAGAATGTACCTGTGACCTCTCCGGTAAATATGCCACACGCTCAACAGCCACACCCGCAACACCATGCGCATCCACACCAACATCCGCAACAGCAACAACAACATCAACAGCAGCAACAGCAGCAGCAGCACCAACAGCACCAACAGCACCAACAATACTTGCAAATGATGCAACCACGGTATGACGCAAGCCCACGCACCAACTACATCCCAGAACAATACCAACAGCCGCCTTTTCAAGGCCATCAACTGCCACCCGAGCAGCCAATGATGGTTTCATACAACCCAAACTATGCGTACAAGCCCCCAGCCTCCCGGCTCTTGAATCAAGCGGAGGGGACTGACTGGGGTTTTCTGGGAGTAGGCTAAGAGCGGATTACACCTAAATTTGTGGACCCAATGCGTGTTTAATGCCCGTTACGACTTTTCTGCTTTCTGGCCCTTCTTTGGTTTGCGAATCAGGCATGTTTTTTTCTGTGGTTCTATATTGGCTCTTTCCTATCTATGCTCCATTTCCAGATTTCTGGGCGCTTTTATTATGGATTCCCCCTTTGCGATATTATGTTATTTCTTCTATATATTGTCATTTTAAACGGAGGCAACGGTGTTTCCCTTCTTGGCGATCTTGTTTTGATACCTGGACATGGGATATGTTTTTTCTTTTTTCTCTTTTTTAATTCCCTTGTTATATTCCCTATCTCTGCGAGGATTGGTCTATTTTCATATCCCGAAGAATTTCTTTTACCAAATGGTCATTCCGATAGTGCCCATGATATATCAGCCATTCCCTTTCTCGCGACTAGTGCTTTCTAGGAATATTACTGCGATGGAAACTCCACTCTAATTGGCCCCAAAGACCTAGCCTTTTGAATCAAATTTCTTCTACTCCGTATATTTACTTTCCTCCTCTTAGTCTATTCCCGTATCCCACATCCTTGTCTGCGCATATTATCTCTCTAGTTCATAAAATGTCATACCATGCCTATATTGGCATACGGTCCGAAAATAAATAAATTGCTTGGCCTACATGACTCGTGGCTTTTTCGTTTCAATTTCTCCTCCATAATTTTATGTATCTTTCTTTTTTTTTTTTTTTCTTTCCGCTGGAGTTATACACGGTGGCCCCATTTTTCTACTCCTCGGAGTTCTAGTCGAAAAAGCCAAGGAGAGCTAAGAGCCAAGGGAAATTCTAGCAGCGCAACCCTGTCTCGCTAACAAAGACAGCGCGGTTTTTTTAATTCGCGCCCTCGTTCTCGCTTGCCTTTCTAGAATGGGGTCTAAAGCAATATTCATTATTATGTATTAATTAATATTTATTATTTTGGCTTCCCAATGCTGACACTTTAGAGAGCTATCTGGGCAATTATTTACTATTTATATAACTATTTACAGTATAATTCATTGGATAATCTGACAATCCCCAAAATCATAATAATATACGGAGCACATTCGAGTCGGGTTCTAGGGTGTCTTTCGCCTTCTCTTCCCGAGTTCCCGATGCAACAGCAATTTGTTTTTTTTGCCATGCCTAGTACCTAGACAAATCCTGGTGGATTATCCCAGTAGGGATCTCTACTAGGTTAGTCCACCAATATGGACTAGGTTCCTGTTCTGCATATTATTGAGTACATAACGGTTGATCTAAGGTAGCAGGAATGTTGCACTCTGGCTAAAACACATCGCCACTAGTAGCAAATCAAACGCCCCAAGTCCGTGGGGGTTACGGAGTACTTGGTCAGTGTACATGGCCCTGGAAGGGCCTTGTGGCAAACAGAGACTTTTTTGGCTCTCTTTTCATCAAGGGTCTGCCGCCTCTGGAGAACTTTGTGAGACACCACTACGCCTTCTGGGGTATTGTGTAGGTTTGTTTGATTGTGTATACGGGCTTGGTTCTAAGGTACAAGGTACATGTTAAGGATCCCTTTATGAAATATAGGATCTAGCCAGTAAGAATTGAGCAATAGGAGGGGAAATATTCCTGGAGTACGGAGTAGTTTTAACTCAAACATCCATGCTCAAATCAAATGGAAATAAAAAGAAAATTAGAACGAGTCTAGAGGTATCCTCCATCAATACTCCGTAGAATGCAGACCTATTACTGGCTTGATTACTCCGTACCCTACTCTGTATACTTCCAAGGTTCTACTTCACTGACACCTGCAGCCTATATTCTTTGAGGGTATCAAAAGTGAAGCGGATACCATTTCCGATTTGAAATAGAAACGGTTGTTTTGATTTTATGATATTATTCTGCTTTTCGACGCTTGTTTCGCGGGAATTTCTTTCCCTTCAAAAAAAAAAAGTATAACGCGGAGACTCCGGACTTGCGGCCAAGGCCTGCCGAGTGACACCGCTAACTTTCGACGCAGATCCATACAGGGGATGATTGCCAAACCCGTCAAGAGTGGAGAGAAAGTGAATGCGGATGAAATATCAAAGGGCCGGTAGATCCCGCCTCCAGAAGGATCAACCAATTTATTTTCAGGAAAACACCGGAGGATAACTGGACACACCTCGGAAGACCCGGCCTGTCGGTGCTGTCGGCCCTTTTCCCAGCGGACTGGTATCTCAATATCACTGTACCTGCGCACTATGGAAGTGGGAACAAAAGCCTCATATTACTTTAGGGCCTGTTTTAATGGAGCCCCCCACATGCAAGTCACAAATTGCGTGCAAACTGGGCCGTATGCGTTAGCCTTGAAAATGGGGTTGATATACCTCCAATCGTTGAGGGCAGGATGTTTCGACACTCTATTTCAATTTCGCTTCCATCTCTTGCTTCGCTTCGCCGACAACCGGGACTTTAATTAGACCGATCCTAATTATACTATTTCCCTCTGATCCGGTAAATCAAGTGGCGCTTGCGACGGGCCAACTTTCGAGCCGCCATGCAGTATAATATGCTGTACTCCATACTCCATAGACAATGACTTCCTGCCAATATAGACTTTGGGCGATAGTCTCTTCGCTAGAATGGCACTGGTCAGTTTGTCTTGCGCGGCCTCCGCTTCTGCATTCCGTACTTCGTAATCCGTACGGAGTAGAGAGTTTTAAGATTGGGCACGGGGAAGCTACTGCCATGCAGGCATCGGGCTATACATTCTTCCTTGGGACTCGAATCTAGCCACTTGCCAATGTATCAGAAGGCGTCGGGATGGAAATGAAACCAAAACACAAATTGGTCTTGCGGGACGGTGATTGGACCGCGTATATGCATGGGCATGATAAGGAGTACCCCATAGACGCAAACTCGATAAAACATCCAAGGAAATCAAGAGACGATTCACGATCGGAGAATGCCTTGCATTCTGCGAAGGCTGATATTTCTGGCCCCCAAGCCAAGCCCTTCTAGTCGCATCAGGGTTCTTGGGCCTATTGACGCCCAGGGGGTGGTTATGTACCAATAAAACCCATTAGATGGACACCAAGGATACGAGACGTCGAAGCTGCATGCAGCTATTTTCGAAACTTGCAATAATTTAAGTTCATTTCCATGTTGCAACAAGTGCAATACCGGAGTAGAGAGAGAAATAGGAAGGCAGAAACAAAACAGCTAGGCTTGGAAGAGCTGCAATTATTTCGTTATTTCCACTTGCATATGAATTGTTTAAAGGCTGTTTTACATACTCATTATAATATACAGCATAGTACGGAGTACCTAAGGTCTACGAGATCCCTACCGGGCGCTTCAAGAGTCGGTGTGGGGATACTTTCCAACGGTGATCTAAGGGGCATCAGGAGGATGAGTGGACCCGCAGAAGACTTCCCCGTGTGAATGGCCAGAGATAATATGGCTAGAATAGCCAGGCGGGGAAAAAAACACTGTAGAGAATTTATCATGGATATTCCCTGTACTCCATGCGGTGTGCATTAGAGCCTTTGCCTAATGTATGGAGAGACTTTCTGAGAGAATATGACGACACAGAACATGACCATGTCGTATCGGAGTTAAGGCATTACGTTATTTCCTGTAGACGCCGTATAGCTTGCCGGCTTTAACGCGAGGTGGGGACCTGAGCCTGAGTCTAGTAATTACTAGGGCTCCTAAAGGAGTATGCAATTCGAGAACATCCCTGTCAATTTACTACGGCTATTCTAAACCTATCAAATGATCTACAAGTAATCTATATATTAGAAGAAACCAGCTTTGAGTTTCTAGGAGCTTGGGCCTTTCGGGAGCATCGGGGGTAATGGGTATTGTATTGTCATAATACATTTGTATGACATTGCGGAGTGCGCTATGGACCGTTCCCGAAGGTCCACTGAGATCCCGGTACCTGTATTTTGGTTCCATGGTACATTAAGTATAGTATGTACAGGTGCATATTAAGACAATTCTATGAATAATATACATGTATATGCCAAGGCAAAATTCAAGAAAAATGATATGCTTGGCATGAATCCACAATGTAACATGTCAAAGACTATCTCTTGGAAACCTCACCTCTTAGCCAGCTAGATTCTGGTTCCATGTGGTCCCCGTCAAGACATGCACAATCTACATCGGGAAAAAGAAAAGAGAGTCAAAAGGGAAGTGGATCAGTAATCTTTCCATTGTATATGTAACAGCCCTCAACCTCAACGCTTCGACCCATTCCGTTGAGACTAGCCCGATCTTCCCGGAGAGAGGCATAGGAAACAAGCTTTGTGGAATGGGGCAGAGGACGCGCAAATCTCAGATCACGGGGTTTTTATCCAATGATTTCGCTTCGAAATCATTTCCGAAACAAAGCAGTACATAACCCTGTACGGAGTACAATGTTTGAAGACTTGGAAAGATGGGTCCAACCTCTAATGGCAACTTGTGTACGAGCGATCGACGGATTCAAGAGAGAGGAAACACGGTTCTAGCTCGAATTGTGTTGCGGCTCAGGCCGATCTCAAACTTTCTTTGAACTTTGGGTTTTTCTTTTTTTCAAACCAGAAAAAAAAAAACAAAAACAGAAACAGGAAAACAGAAAACAAAAACCAGAAAACCAACATTGGAACCAAATTACCGCTCGGCTATTGGCGAGCAGTGGAGAAACCTCAAACCTTGAATTGTTCTCGCCCTTCCCACATGGCACGGGAATTATATGGACCTTCAAGCTTAGAACTCTATATGACATACCAATATGGAAAGGCCAGAGTTAAGAGTCCCTGACTCATGAAATTTCAGGGTCGTCTCGCATTATGAGGCCTAATACGACCAAAGATCTCCCTTGGAAGTGGTCCCACTTCTCAAACTGTGAATGTCTGGTCTAGATCGTACGGTATCGCCTTTCCTTGGGAGCTCCATCGATCAGCGGCATCTTTGAGCGAGCCGTGGAGATACATAGAGAATTCTGCTACAATCAATATCACTTTTTCTGGTTCTCGGTTCTTGCGTCGCGCTAAGATACGTGCCATCCAAGGGTCGGGCGCGAGAGACAGCTGCTTATTTCCCCACCCCTGGGAGTTCCAAGGTTGACCTGTGTGTCGAACTCCATATAGAGTCTAGTCAGATCGATGTGATCTTGGTTCGTTTTATACCGTTCCTTTTATTCTGTGTCACGTAATGGTCCTGGTATCTGCCCAAGTGGCAGTACCGGAGTACATGTTGAATTGGAACTGTTATACAAATATCCTCCGTACACTGGGAACACATAGTCATTTCAATTTCTACTTAGTGTATGAGCCAAACGAGTCCAAAAGCAAATCATCGGTTCTGTAATAATACGATCGCTATAGGTCAGTAGTCCTTGCAGGGCTTTCTCTTTCACTCTGCTACCTCAAAATGATGCCCCAGGCATATAATAGCCCCTAAGCCGCATCGGGAAACTTTAGACGAAAAAGACACCTGCGACCCTTGTCAATGGTCCATTTCTTTTCCTATATCCCCACACTGCCTGGGGAAGTGTACAAATCCATATCCAAGCAAATTAATGTATAACTTACAGTATACCCAGGAACATCCGTTGATCTCGAGGGTCTCACGGGTGTATGACATGGTAACGGCTGCGTTTATAAGCCTTTTGTGCGACGCCATCCAGCCTTGACAAAGATGCCAGGTCTATGTATGGCACGGTGTACGTTGTACCATGTACGTGCCTATCTAGGAATAGCCATCCTGGCAAGGTGTCAGTCGATTTCCGAGGCGAAGGCTGACCGGAGGTTTCCCTGGACTATTCGGGAACGGGAAACGGGGGCACTGCTTGTGGCTTGACTGGGGGAACTGGGGCAATGTACTATATACTTCCTTTCTAGGGCTCACTCCGTAGTCAATCAGGATGTCGGCGAGATGGGCACATGGCGAATGGTATTTTGGCCGAGGTTGAGTGGAAGGACACTGGGGCGTTGCGATATTGGCCACCCCTCCTCCCGGCTGATGTCTGGTTTTTGGCTGCCTGGAACACACGAGCAGGTAGTTGGGTGATATGAGTACTTCATGCAGGTACGTATGCAATAGTGGCCTCGTGTTCCGTTATGTTATGTATGGCTATTTGATCAGTAAGACAAGACGCAGTTTGGAAGTATGCAGATAGAATACTTTGATCTAGGGGGTGCATGCAGAGTCAATCCATCATCTCTAAGCCTTTCTACTTCTATAAGACACTTCTTCTCAGCTAGCAGCCTAGATAGTAAGCCAGATAAGCAATATAAAAAAAATGCGATAATGCAGTCTATTACGCTAAGTCTCAGCCAAGATGCTTGCCAGGCACAGCCTGACAACAACCCAACTCTAGATCAGACCAAACGTCCCAGGTATCAAGATGCGAAAGGTCTAATCATCCGAAACAGCAACCTCATCCTCCCACTTTGACACACCCGTCTCACGTGCACGATTAACAACACGCTCAATGCCATCGAGACCCATCTTCAACACATCCATCTTAGGTCCGTAGCTCAGACGGACGAAGTGGTGGCATGGGCTGTCGAAGAGATCACGACGCTTCGCCGGGTTCAAGTCAAAGAAGATACCAGGAACCACAATGACCTTCTCGCTCAGCAGGGCATTGAAGAAGTTCAGGCCGTCCGAGATGTTAGCCTGAGGAGGCAGGGGCGGGTCGAGCGAAGTCAGATCGAGCCAGATATAGAAGGTCGCCCCGGGGACGTCCTGAACACGGAAGCCGATATCGTACAGACGCTTCAGGACGTAGTCGCGCTTCTCCATAAAGTGGGCTTGCAGCGCCTTCATCTCGGTGCGCACCAGATCGGGCTCCAGCATCGGGATCGCGGCTTCTTGGAACGGCACGTTTGCGCCGCCATCGAGGTACGAGCCTGCGGAGCCGAGAGCATCGACGAATTCTTTGGGGCCAACCACCCACGCAATTCGCCAGCCGGGAAGTCGGAAGCGCTTGGTGAGTCCGTCGATCAAGAGAACGTCTATGGTTCGCGTTAGCTTGGTCATGTACATACCTTGGTTCTGGGGGTGTGGATATCGTACCATCCTTGTTCACGTCAACAACGTTTTCGGCACCGCTGATCGTCGATCCGTCGCAGCCCGTTGTATAGTTGTATCCGCCGTAGAACTCATCCAGGATAAGAGTCGCGCGGTCACGGCAGAGGTCCTGGATTTCCACCAGCTCATCTCGCGGCATGAAGTGGCCTGTGGGGTTACGAGGATTGGAGGTCAGCAGCACCTGGGTGCCACGGGCGATTTCCTCGGCGATCTTGTTGGGGTGGATGCGGTAGTGGTCATCCTTTGAGAGAGGGAGGGGGATGGGAGCAATCTGCAGGAGAATCAGTAAACGGGAACACACCTCAGCTCAGCTCAGCTCTTCCGATAACGCACGTTCTTGAACAGAGTCAACATCTCCGAGTACGCAGAGTAATCGGGAATGGGGAATGACAGGTACGAGTTGCCCAAGATGGCAGCAATGCGAATCAGGCCGGCGCGGCCACCGGGAACAATGCAGACATTCTCCCAGGTGTACTGGCTCTCCTTGCCCTGCCGGTAGTGGTCGTTATACAGACGAGCGACGGCGGCGCGCAATGGCTTGATACCGGCGGTCGGACCGTATTCACGAGCAGCGGAGGTGATGGGAATGGAAGTCGGGCGAGGGAAACTTCCCTCGATCTCGTCGTCGGCCTCGGGGGCTCCCTGGCCTAGGTTGGCCCAGCCGGTGGGATCCTCAGCGTAGCCATGCTCACAGGCTCGTTCTGTGCACCAGACAACACCGGTGGAGGCACGGGAAGCGTCGAGACCGGCGTGGGGACGGTGACCTTCGTGAGCGGCTCGAAATTGCCGATGGGTTTCTGACCGGGTTTCTGAAGGGTTCATAAGTCAGAAAAGTCAGAAGGATAAATGTGATAACGCATATGCACGTACCATTGTCCGACAGCTCCTTGGTGGTTGAGAAACGGCGGCTATCAGATGGGCGCAGAATGCTCAGGCGGCGTCCGGAGAACGACATTCTTGGCGACTGTTTTGTATAAAATATTGACCCTTTTGGAAAAGAGTTAAGAGTTGGGGGGGTGGGAGAGGCCAAAGAAAAAAAAAATAATAATAAACAACTTTCACACCGAGCCCGGGTTTTATTAAAAGGATGACGCTTGCCAGCAAATACTGGGCGACGATTCGACGAAATCACCGACTCTGCCATAATTCCTTCGGGCATCAAGGCCAGGCGCTCCGCGTCCAATACATTAATAGCGCATAGAGGTATTTCCTATATAGTATTTTGGTTATCAAATATCAGAAATATAGCTATGCGTATAACCGTACAAACATACATATATAGCTACATATTGTATAAAGCTTGTAGCTTAATATGCCAAGAATTATTTCGGCTATCCGACCGGCATCCCGATCAGATAGGTAAGTGGATACGGATTATATAGGATGTAAAAAAGGTCTTTTGTATAACTCCATGCAAACCCCATAAAAAAAAAAAAAAAACAGGCATATACATCATATAGAAGCTTCGTACGTTCGTGGACATTGAGATACTAGATCAGTAAAAGAGATAATCCAAAATGGAAAAACGCAAATTCAAAATGCAGAGACGTCTTTCAATCCCTTCACCTCGTCACCAGGACATCATTCATGCCGTAAACACTACATGTTTGCGGCGTGGCTCGCTGAAAGTAAGAAGAAGGAGATAGAAAAAGAAGTATCTCCCCTCGAGAACGGCTGCTCAGCAGTTTCAAGCCAATCCAGTTGGAACGAGGGTCAGGATAGGAGAGCGCCATAAACGACACAAAACGTTGGAAAAGACGGGGATCGACGGGATCCTCGCGGGGGGAATCAAGGAGGTATTTAAGTTAAGAACGAGCGGGAAATCAAACAAGAAAATGATCTAATCGACCACCTGGCAGTAGAGTTGAATCTCTCCCACCAAGCCCTTGGCGAGCATATCACGATGTTGTTCCCGCCACTCCATGAAAGCAAGCTGAACCGCCTCGTCGCTATCAATCGTGACAAAATCACCATCCTCATCACGGTACCGCAGTCGAACGGTTTTGTTCCCGATGGATCGATCGGTGAACCGAGCGAGTTTGGCATCCACGCGGTCCGTCAATGAACGGAACAAAATGTTGGTCGCAATTACCAGCGTGACATAGTTGTCGTCAAAATTCACCTTGGCCTTGAGTTGAGTGGGCATGTAGTCTCCTTCCTCTGGTTCTTGGGTCAGGGGCGATGTAGCATGATCGGAGATTTGCCCAGAATGGCGGGTATCGTTATATTCCGGCTCGTTGAAATGCGTGGTGTGGAGTTGGGGCTGGGTACGAATGGGGAGCTGGGTGTTGGTGGGCGAACCGTTCTGGCTGCGGCTGACGGGGGCTTTCATGTTGGCCATGTGCGCAGGAATCGGTGGCACCGGGACATTATCGACTGTCTGCATAGTATGCACTCCCATATAACGACGTGACTCGGGATTGTTGTTGTGATGGTGAATATCAGGGCTACTAGCCGATCGCATCCGTTGGGCCATGCCATTTGCGGAGTGAGCCTGCGGGCCCGAGAGTGGGGGCAATGACGGGCGCTGAGCACTTCTTCCACTAGGCTGCGGTGGGAAATACCCGCCAGAGGTTGTCCCTTCTCGCGATCCTACACGAGACAAAGCCGGTGCGGTGTAGCGAAGGGAATCTTCATTCCAGCCCGCTGATGGAGTCGTGGAATTTGTATTCTGACGACTGAAGGAAAATCCTGCAGATTGAGAACTCGATCTCGTGGAAGGAGTCTCCGTGGGGGAAAAATAGGAGCTCATATTTCGATCACTAGGGGACATGTTGCCGTTGCCGGAGAATTGAGTGTGTAACGAAAGCGACGGATCAGTTCCCGCGTAGCGCGGTCGGGTGTTGGGGTGAGGAACGGAGTTGGTGCTGCCACCGGTGGCAGATCGGGTTCTCAGACTAGTACTGGACGCATTTCGGCTCATGGGGAATTCGGAATGATATGGATCTTTGTTGTTGGCGTCATCGGTATCATACTCTTGTTGATAGGGGTTGGGCATGTGCGCCATGCCCTCCATGTACGTGAACTCGCTGTCGGATGTACCAGTATTCCGCAAAGTACGTCGCTCCGCTTGAATCGCCCGCTGGGTATCGATGTCCTTGTACCAATTCCGCATGGTATCTTCGTTTATATATCGGATGATGAAATTGTCAACGACACCAGGGTCTCCTTTCCAGAAAATCTGAATACGGTAGAGTCCTATTGAAATCGATTAGAGGCATATTTCTTGATCTAACAAGCGAAGAGTAATGCTTACCAGGCTTTTGAAGGCAAACGATATCCGTGACGTTGGCCATGTAGATCCGACCTTTCAATTGAAGACGCGCCTTTCCTTTCGCATTCAAAGACGGCTTATCTTTCTGCATCATAAGCTTGGACTTTTGCTTGTTAGGATTGATATCTTTGCAACAGAGAAGTATGCGCTCGAAGAGATAGATATGGTACTAAGGGCCGTGTCAGTGATGTGCCATTCCGGGGAACAAAAAAGTGTAAGATGCGGGAAGCGAGATCACATACCTCTCTCTCGCTATCCTTTCCGCTGTCTCCCTTGACAACTTGGAAAGTGCCGAATCGAAGGAGATCCCCAAATGACTCCATCTTCAATGCTTTCCAGTCATCCACGCGCTCAGATAGATCAATTACTGCCGCAGCCAATTCTTCTTTGTGGATTGCCTCGTTCGCAAAGTCCAACACATTCTGGATACAATTAACTGCATGTGTGATATCGGCCTGGAGTTGCTCGTCTTCTAATTGTTTGCGTAACTCCTATGAAGGCAACCACATTAATTCGTTGATCTTGAACCAAGCATGAAGAAAACTTACCAATAGCATCATCGGGTATCGAGTCAAACGCTGGAAGGGTTTCACGAAGAACCCATTGAGCGTTTTCGGCTGAGCGACCATTTGCTGCAGATCTATATGGCGGGGCGCATTCTTGATTTTGTCCCATTCCTTCATACAAGCTTCGTCACAACGCATCTGGTTGGCAATAAAAGGCTCATATTGCCGGAAACCATCTTCATGCACGAAGAAAAGGTGACCCCAGTTCTGCATTTCTTCTGGCAAGGCGTAGTGCTGCTCCATGCGAATCAAGAACCGTTGGGCAAAGTCTAGTAGGTTGTTTAAGTTGAGGAAAATCTGATGGCTCGCATCACCTGTCAAAGCGCCCGTCTCTTCCAGTTCCTTCTTGAGCGCTTGGAGATTCTGCAGGTGATGAACATAGTCACGCTCCGTTTCCAGAAGTTCCTTGAGAATATGCTCTCGTTTGGTAAGCTTCACATTGGTCTTTGCGCAGGGGGCCTCTAGAACTTCGGATTGCTTTAATTGACCTTGCATCTCGAGGATATCCACCACACGGTTGACCATTTTGATCACTTTGATGAATCCGGTGGTACTCTCGCCGTAAAGGTCGGTGATCAAAAAGCAATCCTGCTGAGGGAATTCCAGATCTTGTAAACAGGCCTGTAGGAACTTGAAGGTCGCCGCTTTGGGACGCTTCGCCTCAGTCACCTTGCCAGGATCAATCTCTAGTTGCTCTTCGGGACCAGACGCATTATAAATGCTCAACAGTGGATAGCCATTTCTGAGACAATTCCACAAGGAAGCCACCGGATCTGTATTTCCTCTTATGCGATCGTCATCATCCATCTCTTGCAGGTATGACTCAAAGTTGGGGACTTCGGATAGCCGCCTCCTCAAATTGACACAGCTCTGGTAGATCGATTCTCCACCGCGGCGGTTGATAATGTTATCCTCGGCGACCGGAGCGCCACTCATGGCTGCGGAGTCAATCATATTGAATTTCCTCGAGAGCCAGGTATAGATGAGTTAGACCAGCCAGGCTCAATTTAAATCTGCACAGCAGACCCAATGGGGATAGGTTCGGAGGGATCGACGAGCGTCGGAAGTGAAGAGATGATGATCATGGGTTCCCCGGGTGGGTGTGAGCTGCGCGGCGCAGAGAGGTGTCCAACGGAATTTCGCTCGAAATTCCGGAGAAAAACAGCGATACGATACGATCGGTTCTCGGTCGCAGGCGTGATTGTTTCGAATGCGAAACCCTGGAAGCGCCCTTGATATCAGAGGCAACAGGCAATAGATATAGGTATATTTGTTTGAACCAATAGCGCGGGTATCAGATACGATGCACCGCCACTTTCTGGTGGAAAAGGAGGGGCTCGAGGAATATATTCCGACCTGCAGCCAGCCCCAATCGATGAGGCGTGGGAATTCAAGTATTTCGATGACCGCTGCAGCCGGGCAGGCGAGTCAAATCAGGTTGAAGAGAGTTCGGAGGAAGACCTTCGCGAATGGGCCAGTCACTAGGACTTAGCGGACAATTGGAGTCCCAATAAAAAAAGGGGCGCACGGAATAAAAGAACAAGGGAAGCCAAAACAAGACAGTCTCAGCAGTTAAATGAAGCTAAGAACCCAAACGACAAGAACAAGTACAACAGACGAGAGTTCTGCTGATGGAACAGGGGAATAGGATGGAGAGAGGGTGAGCCGAAGGAGTCTGTTCAGTTGCCTCAAAGGGTTTAGCGTGTGTTCTATGGGGCGGTGTGATGTGGAGAGGGGCAGTTGGCCGTGCTTAGGTCATCACAGCCTCCGGGGCTGGGCACCTCGGGCCCCCGGGGTAAGGGCTGGGCCTAGCCCCAAGGAAGGCTGGAAAAGCAAAAGCGTCGGTATGATGTTGGGGGCGTACGGAGTTCACGCGATTTGAATAGTACAGTACCTTTTGTAGGGAGCTCGCATATAAAAGGTACACCCACTGAAGGGAAATATTAACTGTTAACATAATCCTGCTCTAGAACGTTACTTATTGATTGTCTTTAGCGCCTAAAAATTGTTTATCCAATTATGATAGAGATTTTGTCGTTTCCATCGGGTATCTCTTTGTGACATAGCACTATATCAGCGTCTAATGGAAGAGGCTACGAATTGCTTCCTGTATATGTTTTACTATATAGACTCGAACCACGTGACTGGGGAATAATGTCCATTTCACGCGCGCCTAATCAAACATGTTTATTTCCAAGGCTATTACGTTGATGAGAAACTCTTGATGTCTCTGTATTTAAACCGAAATTCTTCTTTTTTTTTTTGTCTCCCACTTTGCATTTAAATTAAAATTCTGCTTTTCTTTTCCACCTTGCGACTGAAGTTATATTTGCCCTCTATCAATCCGGTGGGCCCTGCCTCGTCCAAACGTGACGTGACATGCACCGAGGCCAACCCATCTGCTCAACCTCCCTTCCCCAACCCTCCTCTTACAAAGGACCCTACCCTTATTTATTAATTTTCTATTATCTTCTTGCGAAAACTTCCTTGCAGGGTTTCGCCACCATCGCGCAACGCCATTGATCTCGGCGTTCGACTCATCAGCTCGGTGCAGACCCCTCTGAAAACCCGCATCAATGGAGGGTGAGCCCTTGCCCGATGCCCAAATCTCTCCTACGCTACAATTGCAGACAAGTACCCTTTCCGAGTTTTCTGCGCCTTCTCTGTCACCCTCGTTTAAGCTAGATGAAGGCTATTCGGACGATACTCGAAGCCAGGCCGACAAGGATCTAGGATCGGACAATGTCATGGCGCTTCCGAACTGGGTACTCGCCCAGTCCGAGACCGGCAGAGCTGGTAAGATATCTCTTTCCCTTTGCCCCTTCGTTAATTTCTACGAGCGCGAAGCATCAGCCTCTCATGTTACTTTTCGATTTTCCTTGTTAACCGAGGGTTTCCCACTTCCAGAGCTCGCATACAGCCTTCTTCGGTCTCTACGAACCTCAAGCATCGCCGCAGTAGTTGATCGCCTGAATCCTATCCTCCATATTGACCCATGTGTCAGGCTTCCTCCGGAAATCACATGGGAGGTCTTTACCTACCTCGACGCTCGGACGCTTTTGAATGCCTCGCTTGCATCCCGCTCATGGCGTGAACGTATCCTTGACTCGGGTCTGTGGAGATTCCTGTACATCCACGAAGGTTGGGACATGGATACAAGCGCGATTCGTGCGTTTGAGCAAGAACATTCCGAAGCCATGTCGCCCCAGACCCGGAAGTCCCGCCTCCGACACCTGGAACCAGATCTCGGGGAACCTAAGCATAAAAAGCGCGTGCCATCGACCTGGCTCGATTCACGAAGCGATGAAAACCAAAGACCGACCGTGTTTGGCCCTGCGCCCCCGATGGCCGACAGTGAAGGTGATCACCACATGACTGATGATGACGATCAGACTGCACCTTCGTTCGCCGACGACCCGGAGTTCCTTCTACCAACTAATATCCCCCAATTTCCTTCGCCACTATACCCACCTCTACGATCGCATCTTCTCATCCGGGATACCGATGGAAGCGCTAAAATCAACTATTTTCATATCTACAAGCAACGCAGGCGACTCGAAGCAAATTGGCATCAAGGCCGATACACCAATTTCCAACTTCCTGACCCGTCTCATCCAGAAGAGGCCCATCGGGAATGCGTATATGCGATCCAGTTTGAAGGCCGATGGCTAGTCAGTGGGAGCCGAGACAAGACTGTGCGAGTCTGGAACCTGGATACTAAACGGCTATGGCATCCCGCGCTGGTGGGACATACGAAGTCCGTACTTTGTCTGCAATTTGATCCTCGACCCGAGGAAGACATCATCATCTCCGGCAGCAGTGACAAGTCCATCATCGTATGGAAATTCTCCACCGGAGAAAAGATCCATCAAATCGAACAAGCGCATCTTGACTCGGTGCTCAATCTTAAATTTGATCATCGTTACCTCGTAACCTGTTCCAAAGACCGAACTGTGAAGGTATGGAACCGCCGAGATCTTCTACCGAATAGCAAGGATTATCCGCATATCTGCCATGAATCAAACGCCACATATCCCGGATGGATAATAGATCTGAACGTGATTGCACCGAGCGTTCTTGAAGCTGGCATTGCGCATGATCAATACAAAGCCCTAGAGCCTTACACGTTGCTTATGACCGTGGAAGGACATGGAGCGGCGGTAAATGCGATGCAGATCCATGGCGATGATATCGTGACGGCGTCTGGAGACCGAGTGATCAAGGTCTGGAACATACGAACTGGCAATTGCTCGAAAACCTTGACGGGCCACGAGAAAGGCATCGCATGTGTTGAGTTCGACAGCCGAAGAATCATCAGTGGCAGCAATGATAACTCTGTTCGCATCTACGACCATGCCACCGGAGCTGAGGTGGCGTGTCTGCGAGGTCATACTAATCTCGTTCGCACCCTTCAAGCGGGGTTTGGTGATGCTCCGGGAGCCGATCAAACCTTGCGCGAAGAAGCGCTGGCGTGTGACAATGCGTTCTACGCCGCTCGAGAAGCCGGATTGGACGTCGACATGGGCCATCGGGAGCAACGCCGCAATGGCTACCAACCGAACACTGCGGGATCACGAGACCCTCGCGATATGACTGCCGTGGGAGCAAAAATCCCACCTGGTGGGGGAGGTAGTAGCTGGGCCCGTATCGTGTCGGGTTCCTACGACGAGTCAATCCTAATCTGGCACAAAGACCGTGATAAGAGGTGGACAACGGATCACCAACTGCGACACAGTGATGCCATCATCAATTCCGCTCGTGGGAACCTCAGCGAAGTGGCACAAACCACTATTGCGGCCCAGGCCCAACAGTTGCAAGCAGCACAAGCTCTGGCGACACTTGGGCAACACGGCAATGCCAACCCCCACGCTGGTCGTGCCAACCCACAATCTGTACCTCCTGCGGTTAACAACACTCTGCCACTCAACCCACCTCCTGCCCACCATCATCACCACCACGGCCATCAACGCAGACCTCAAGGATCCTCGACAGCTGCAAGGGTGTTCAAACTCCAATTTGACGCACGGAAGCTCATTTGTGCCAGCGTGGACCCTCGCATTGTGGGATGGGATTTTGCCTGTGATGATGAAGATATCATTGAGGCGAGTCCATTCTTCAAGGGGCTCTAGTCTTTCTCGCCTTTACGCCTTTTAATACCCGCATCTGTTCTTGTTTTACTTCAGTGCCTCTCTTGCATCGTCCCTAATGGGCGCAAATTCTGAACCCTCTGATGAAAAGACGGCTTAATTCACTTGACGACTTCCTATTATTAGCGTCCATGCGATCGCGTTGTGTTTTCTTTGCCTGGCGCATTGATACTCTCCCATTTGCTCTCTCTCTCTCTCCGTCTTCCCTCTGACCTCTCCTTACCCATCTTCTCAATGTCGTGCCATGCTATACGATGGGCGCTTGCTATTTATTAAATGATGTATCTTTTATTTGACTTCTATGTTAGGAGTCATTGCTGGCTATCCAGTACATCTTTTTCGGAGTTTCTTCTAATTTTTCTTCTTCTATTTCTATATCTTTTTTGCATGGCGCCGGTGCGGCATTTCCATAGCATTATGACTAGCATCAATGATATGAAGTTCTGATATCAAACCTCAAAATTCTCTGGAAGGTGGGACCCGATCCAAAAATTGAAAAGGTGACTCATCAGGAACTATATTCATGGATCCCGCAGTACTTGGATTTCCCCAGACTCAACAACTCAACCTTGGAAGTAACATCGCAACATGGCTACACCAGACTATCACCTCATCGGGCTATACACCCGCTACTCCAGTAAGTAGCATGCAATGATCCATACATCAGACCTAACAAGCCCTCTCCAAATAGGCTGGACAGCACGCGTTGAAGCAGTACTGGAATACTTCCAGATCCCCCATACACACCAATTCATACAGCTCTCCGAAGTACCTACATCCATTCCCACATAGATAAGTATACAGTCACTCACAAACCACAGACAAAAGCCTTCTCCCCAACAGGCTTGGTCCCAATCCTTCAATGCCATTCCCTCCCCTCAACAACAATCACAGACTCCCTTGCCATCTGCGAATTCCTCGCTGAGTCAAACCCAACCCTCCCCCTCTGGCCCAAAGACCGCCACCTGCGCGCCCTAGCCCGCAGCGCTGCGGCCCAAATGCACTCTGGCTTCCCAGTCCTGCGGAATAACTTCCACACAAACTTCCTGGCCAAGTACACGGGCAACATTCCCATCCCGGATGGCGCCGCCGCTGAGATAGCGCGCATGTTCCGGATCTGGGATTTGGCGCGTAAGGCGACTACAGAGCGTCTTGCGGAGCTGGGCGAGGTTGATGAAGGGTTTTTGTTTGGTGGATTTAGTATTGCGGATGCGTTCTTTTGGCCGATTCTTTGGGTGAGTTTCTTTCCTTTCTTTAAAAAAAGATGGAAAAAAGCGTTGGCTGACTTTGCTTCCTAGCGATTCCGCTCCTATGGTCTTTCGCTAGAAGGTGCTGGCCCTGATGCGCTGGCGTGGATGGCGAAGATGTGGAATGATCCCGTGTTCAAGGCGCTGGGGAATAGGTACTATGCGCAGGCTGAGGATCCGCAGACTTGCATTGCGCATTATGATGATATCTTCCGGGATAGGGATGATGTGCAGTATAGCTTGTTCCCGAAGGATTGGACTTTCTCGGTTTCTGGGTGATTATATAGTGAAGGGTTGATCGGGGTACAGTGGTCTAACCTATACTAGATACATACATCATCAGGCAAAGATGTGGAACATCCGTTGAATGTAGAAACGTCGTTTTATTTATACGAGCTAGTGTCTTACGATCTCAATGAAATGAAAGAACTCATAAAACATTCATCGATGTGATTGCGAGAGAACTGTACACTCGAAGGGCTTAGAATGTTTCCGCGATAGCTTGTTATGGATAGGAAACAATCATGTACGATTTTCAGCATAGGAGAGAAGAACCATCATTCTCGAGAGTAGAGCACCAACTGACAAGAGAGGGATGTATGTATTTATGTACAGGAGCAAGATGCTAGGCCACGTTCGAATTAATGATAAAACCACCCAGCAAGCGCGTTCATGTACTGAACATCCAGAAAAGAAAGAAAAGAGCACCACAGTAGCCACACAACAGGTCGTGAAGGCGTACAGCATATACTTCAATGAAAGATTATACAGCGGCAGAGTTCACAAGGGTCGGAAACATGACACTGTACAGAGATGAGATCCATGCCTGGAGGTCATGGAGAGGAGTATTTCCCTCACTGTTTTCATTCTGAGATCCAGCAGGCGATACCTGGCTCTGGGCGGTAACATATGTTTCTCGCGAGCTGGTTGCCCCGAGAGAATCATCCGCCTCCTCTTGACTGTCCGAGCAGCAGCAGAGGCAAGTCTGAGATTTCATCCACGACAAAACGTCCGGACAGACGGGCGTGCTTGCGTGAGGGCCTTCATCTGCACCGCCTCGGACAGCCATCGTGAAAACGGAATGCAACCGCGATGGATTTGGAGGTAGATGGTCTCCAATTGCTCTAGTCCCTTGGGCAGAAGGTTCTACTGGATCCGCAGGACCGTCTGATCTAGTCAAACTGCGTGACAAGCTGAGAATTGCAGTGGCTCTGGGCTGCGCTGTGCGGTTTACCACGGCAGGGGCCGGGCTCGATGGAAAGGGGAAATGTCGTCTAGATCGGGAGGCCAGAGGCTGGAGACGCCCGCTTGGGCGAAGCCCTAGACCACCCTTTGTGTGTGTAGCTTCGGCATAAGAATCATGGCTTGTGTCTGTGGGTCCGTGGTGGGCAATGGGAAGATTGCGTTGGTGGAAAGGATGCTCCTGCAGCCGTCGACCAATGTTCATTCCATGGCCACTTTGTCGATGGGGAAATCGGCCCTGTACTAGCGTGCCATCCTCGGCTCGTCCTATACCATTAACGGATATCCCACCAGCCTGAGATATAGAGGACGAAAAGCCAAAGAATCTCCTTAGGGTATCGCCATACGAACTGCTACGCTGACTACTTGCAGGACCACCACGTTGCAGGGTTGCAGGTGATCGTGCATCGTTGTCTGGGAGCATGAACTGCGCAGAGTAGGACATAGCCTCTGACGTGCCGAAGGAGGGAAGGCCGGGGGGTGTGGGCGTTCTTTCTGGTGGTGGATATCGAGGTTTGACGGTCGTTATTGCAGGCCCCAGGCTCCCAGGCCATCTGGGCCTGCTGATACCACTATCAATTGCATCGAGAGAAACAGCCTTACGATGCAAAGACCGATGGAAGTCTGGTATCGCTGCCCTTTTAGCCAAAGGAGATCTCAGCCGGTGTGTGGCTTGCCAGCACTGGTCAGATAACAGCTTAGTGTGATTCCCAAGCTTCCCTGCCACCCCCTGTCGTCGTCCTCGCCTGGATGGCACATTGACTGGCACATTGGTAGGAGTATGATCATCCTGTGTATCTATAGAAACGAATCTGGCGAGGTTTACCGCTAAGCCTTGCTCGTGAACGGGGTTATCATGGGAGAAAGATGCATAGAAACGAGGGCTGGAATCATTTGGTGTGGTGACTCTGATCGCATTGTATATAGATCTTTCGTCGCTAAGGATGGACTCAGATGATTCTGGGTTATCGTATGGTGAAATGGAGTCGGAATCGGGGTGTTTTCCACGTCGGAGGCTCCGTGATGCTGAGAAAACATGTGAATGGGGGTTACTGGACTGATCGAGTCTTCCTCGGGCAAACATATTGAAGGCAAAAGAGCGAAGCCTGGTCAAGATGAAAATAGAAAATATACTGGGAGAGTGATAGGTGGGAATATCAAAGATGAGTATGTGATTTCCTCGAAAACCCTCATCGTGCCTGCCAAGATCAAGCCAAAAGAAAATATTATACAAAACAGAGAACAGTCAATATGTACACTCTTAAATGAATATGCGCTCAAATCCCGAAAACGTTGAATGTCATGATCATAATGGAGTGCCACCTGGGCTGGGCATTGGCCTGCCAGTCACTTGGGCGTGCTCCTTTCTTAGGGCTCGCAGTAACCCTTCAATTCTGCGACGCTCTTCTTGTTCGGCCTGGGAGGTGTCAGTCAGAAAAAAAAAGAGAAAGGTTCAATATAACTCACCCTCAGTATCTTCATATTCTCGTTGCGCGTGTCACGCATCATCTTCTTGAACTCATTCTTGAGCACCATAGTAGAGGTCGTCTCGGAAGTGCCATCGCGGCCCACGGATGTGGGACTACTCAAGTTCATCCAGCTAATACGTTCTTCTGCCAGTTGTGTCTCGAGTTGCTCGCAACGATCCCGAAGACTGTCAATGAAACTTTCGAAGCGTTCGCGTTCCTTCTCAAACTCGATGCTAGCTTTCGTCATGGCTTCGTAGTCATCGATAGTCTCACGAAGCTCTCTTTCAAGAGTATCTGCCCGCTGCTGAAGATCACCACCGCCTCGCTGGCTCTTCAGGACGGCAAGTTCCTCGGTGAGCTCGATGTTTCGGGTAACCAGAGCATCGTTCTCCCTTTGGATACTAGGGTTGGAAGACACCTCTGCCGCGCGTTCAGCTCGGGTACCATAAGCACCGTCCAGCTCTGCCTTGACCATTGTCAGTTCAGTTGTGACCCGTACAATCTCGCCTTCGAGATCAGTGATCTCATTCTGCAGGCGGGTGGTATTGTGATCGGACTGCGCGCGCTGATCATCTGCTTCCTTGATACGAGCATCAGATTGAATCCGGATCTGCTGGATTGCGGCTTCGAGCTGAGCCACCTCTTGCTCTGCACGGTCACGAGCACCCCTAACTTCCTCAGATCTGGAATCGCTATCGTTCTGGAGTGTTTCGACGACGCTCTGTAGGCGTTGAACCTCGTTCTCCGCACGGTCCCGGGCTTCCTTGATATCCTCGCATCTAGAATCGGTGTCGTTTTGCAAAGTCACAACGACGATATTTAGACGCTTAACTTCATCTTCCGCGCGGTCACGGGCTTCCATGGCCTCTTTGCTCTTGACGGCGGTGTCATTTTGCAAAGATTCAATGGCGACCTGTAGACGCTTGACTTCGTCTTCCGCAAGGTCGCGAGCCTGTCTGGCCTCTTCGATCTCAGCGTCGGTATCATTTTGCAGAGATGCAATGACTGCCTGCAGACGCTTCACTTCGTCCTCTGCTTGGCCGAGAGCCTCTCTGGCTTTTTCGAGCTCAGCGTCGGTATCATTCTGCAGAGATGCAATGACCACCTGTAGACGCTTCACTTCGTCTTCCGCATGGCCGCGAGACTCTTCGCTCTTAGCGTCGATATCATTCTGCAGAGATGCAATGACTGCCTGCAGACGCTTCACTTCGTCTTCCGCATGTTCGCGAGCCTCTCTGACCTCTTCGATCTTAGCGTCGGTATCATGTTGCAAAGATGTAATAACCACTTGTAGACGCTTCACTTCATCTTCCGCATCGTCACGCGCCTCTCTGGCCTCTTCGCTCCTAGCTTCAGCATCATTTTGCAATGATGCAATGACGACCTGTAGCCGCTTGGCCTCACCTTCTGCGCGGTCGCGGGCATCACTGATTTCCTCGGCTCTGTCATCATTGTCTCTTTGCAAATCGTCGATGTAGTGTTGCAGGCGCTTAACCTCGGCCTCTGCTTGATCCTGAGCATCTCGGGCTTCTCTGACTTCCTTGGTCTTGACATCAGCTTCGCTATGCAGCGAAGTAACAACGCTTTGCAAACGTGCGACTTCGCCCTCGGCCTGAACCAGAGTCGCCTTGGCTTCTTCCTGAGCAGAGCCACTGTGGCGCATTGCGTTGAGCTGTCCCATGACAAGAGCCAGCTCATCGCGGTTAGCGTTCCCTACACGCTCAGATACTTCAAGATCTCTGCGAACGTGGGTCAACTGTTCTGTTAGGTCGCCGATATGAGCATCTCGTTCGGCGTCTGACTTGGAGTTGAGCTCGCGTTGCTGCTGGATTTGTGTGGTAAGGATACTCTTCTGCTCTAGTACTCCATCCACTCGACTCTCCAGGCCATCTAGACCAACCTGTAGGTATGAGAGTTGTTCTTCCAGCCCTTCGCCGTGAGATGCATCAGGGGGCGGAGGCAAGGTTGGCGAACGGGTCAAACCAAACCGATCAACGATGGTTTGCACTTGATTGTTGATTTTGGTGAGTTGGTGTTTCCAGGCGCCCTCAGCTTCAGGTACAACATCGCGAGAAACCAAGGGGGTAGGAACGTCTCCCGTATGCAAGACGATATTATTCATGCCATTCTTGATATAGGCCAGGTGAGCTTCGACCGTTGCTGTGGGATTGACAGGCCCTCCGCCTCCTGACAGCTGTGGGGGAGGATCGATGAATTCACCGGGGTTGGACTGTATCATCATGTCATGCATGCGCTCGCTAAGTTCCTCCAATCGTCGTTCTGTAGCTTGCATGGCCTCGGTATTCATTGCGGCGGCCGCGTTGGTCTCACCCTTCCCGTGCACGCCAAAGTTATCCAATTGCTCGGCCGCCCGGTAAAGACTGCGATCGTCGAATTTGTGCTCATCATAGGTGCTATCCGAAGCGCGCGGAGCAGGGTTCTTAGGACCCTTCTTCAGACCCTTGTGTGTCATCTGCAAGACACCCGCAGTGTGCTCCAGCAAGCGCTGGCTGATCTTCTGAGACCTCTTCTCCAGCTTCCAGAGTTCCTGCGCCAACTCTTCACATCGCCGCTGGCTGACCGCGAGTTCGGAGTCGCTCTTGTCAAGGGCCTCAGAAGCCCCACTGCGACCAAATATGCCCCGGCTCATCCGGCGCGGGTTTGAACCATTGGAATTGTATTCGCCGCTGCTCCGCGGGCTGGGCGGGCTGTAGAGCCTACCGAGAGACTGCGCCGCATCACGCAGTTTCGTCTCGAGCGCTAGTTTCCGTTTCGTGCCCTGGATGCGAGTGGACAGTAATGTGACTTCCTTCTTCAGCTCTTCCACCTCCTCGAAGGATAGCACTTCGTAATTCGTGCTATCCCCTATGGCGGTCTCGGTCAACAGGTACATGGCGACGGGGTCGTTGGCGTTCAGGAGGGCGGAGCTTCGCGGGTGGGCCGAATTGAGCTACCAGAAACGAGGTAACCATGGTTAGCTGGAGTCCGAGGTTGGGGTGTGTCTCTCTACTCACTGGGTTATATCGTGACCGCTCCTCATGTTGGGGGTCCAGAGCATCCCGATACCCGTCCACGAGTGTCTTTCCATGCGGCGGCACCGGAGCTGGAGCATCGGAGGCGGTCATGGTCGAGAGATACCGCGGGTCCCCGTAGGAGGACTGACTGGAACGCATACTTATATTCATGGTCGTTCAATGGCCGGGGTCCGATTAGAATTAGGAGAAATTCAGGAACAGGCGTCGCGCATCATGAGTTTCGGGTGCTGGAGTTTGCGGAGGGAAATGTAGATCTCGTTTTGCAGGACAGTGGAGAGGGATTTCAATGTATTTAGCGAAGGTAATAATTAATGAAAGATGGCGGGGAGTGAAGGAGAAAACACACGATCGGCATCACGTTAGGGTTCAGCCACGGCATTTTCCTACAATTTTTAAATGATATGTTCGATTGAATATTGTACACGTAGATATAGATGTAAGGGAGTAGTTGATAGAACATTGAACTTGAAGTATACTCTACCCCTGAATACGAGTAGTGATTTCCACTTTCTTTTTTAGATTACTAGAAAATCCACTATATGGTAGCCCTGGAGAGTACATTCTACTATATACTTACTGTACAATATCCAATACCTATTATGTCTAGGGCATAATAGGTATTGGATCTAAACCTCACATGCCCTCAACCCCGCTAGATACCTGAGAAAGTACTTAGGATTACCTGATAGTACTTGTGCAATGTAACATTATAGTAGGGCTCATCAAGTACTGCCAAGTACCAGGGTTGCGCGTACCTCGGATCCCCCAGAGTGACATGAAAAAAAAGGCCAAGAGAAGCTAAAAATGATGGAAATTGCCCGCTTTGTTTCATTTTCTTATAGAGGCCCCAGAATGTAATTTGGTCTGTCACAACTGTAGACATGCCGACTCTCGAGCTTTCCCCAGATACCGAGCAGGGCTCTCGACCTGTCTACAAGGTCTATAAGCGACGATTCTGGGGCCTGGCCCAGTTGGTATTGCTGAATATTGTCGTTAGTTGGGATGTATGTACTCTACAATTACTATGCTTTGCATATCGCTGACTCTCATATACAGTGGTTGACCTTCTCGTCCATCTCGACAACGGCCGCCGAGTACTTCGATGTCTCGGAGAGCGCTATTAATTGGATGAGCACTGGCTATCTCTTCGCCTTCTGCGCTGTTAGCCCGTATGTATACATCGCCACTTTGACAATAAAGAGGGGGAAAAAATCCCCGCTCCAAGTGTCCTAGTCACTGATCAGTTTACCAGCATCGTCATCTGGATCCTGAACAAAGGTGGACCCAAACCAGCTATAATCACCACCGCTGCACTGCTACTAGTCGGCAACTGGCTCAGATATGCTGGCACCAGAGCAAACGGCGGCATGTTCGGGCTCGCCATGTTCGGCCAGATCCTAATAGGGTTCGCGCAGCCCTTCTGCCTCTGCGCGCCAACCCGATACAGTGAGCTCTGGTTCTCAGACCATGGCCGAACGAGTGCAACAGCCGTCGCTAGTCTAGCGAACCCACTCGGCGCAGCCCTGGGTCAGCTAATTGGCTCGGAGTGGGCGTCGAAACCCTCCGATATTCCAGATATGGTCCTGTACATCTCGATCATCGTACGTGCAACCCACCCCTCTTCCAGAATCCCAGACCATCAATCGGTCCTTTCTTCCTCTTGCTCACACACGTAACCCAATAGTCCACCGTTGCAGCACTCCCGTCATTCTTTCTCCCGGCAGCACCACCAACACCCGCAAGCGCATCATCTGCAAAGCCGCACACGCCACTGGGCGAAGCAGTGCGCATATTAGCCACCACGCGGGAATTCTGGCAGATCTTCATCCCATTCGCTGTATACGTGGGCTTCTTCAACAGCGTCTCCTCGCTGCTGAACCAAATCCTTAGTCCGCACGGGTTCTCCGAGACAGAAGCAGGCATTGCAGGCGCCATTCTGATTGTGGTGGGACTCATCGCATCAGCAATCATGTCGCCGATAACAGATCGCTACAAGCACTACTTGGGCAGTATCCGGGTGCTAGTGCCTGTAGTGGCAGTCACGTATATTGGATTGATTTTCGCACCGGGCAGTGCGGCGGGAATCCCGCCTTCGTATGTGGTTATGGCGCTGCTGGGTGCGGCGTCGTTCGCGATGCTGCCCATTGTTCTAGAGTACCTGGCTGAGATTACTTATCCGCTCTCGTCGGAGATTGGAAGTACCATCTGCTGGACGGGTGGGCAATTGTTTGGTGCGTGCTTTATTCTTATTCAGGATGCGTTGAAGGCTGGGGCCGGGGCTGCGCCACCATATAATATGCGGAATGCGTTGGTGTTTGCGGCTGTGATTGCTGTTGTGGCTGCACCCTTCCCGTTAACGATCGGACTTTTTGGAAGGGTTGTTCATCGTCGTAGGTTGGACATTGATCGCGGTATCGAGTTGCAGGAGGCTGGGGAGGTGGTTAGGACGGAGGATAGTATTAAGAAGGTTAGGTCTGATGAATCTGCTGCAGATACTGATACGCTGATCAAGACTATCAAGACTTGAGAGGATTGTCCCCTGTGTCGCTCTCGGGATTCATTTTGGGATATGTGACTTGTCCATCCCAACGCCAGCCTGGAAGAGCTGTGACGTTTCACTCATTTATTATTATTATTAATTGCTGCGCCATCGGCATGGTGCTATTGACGAGTCTTTATTTCTAATGTCCCTTGATATGGTATACCCCCATTTATGTTACCCTAATATCTTTTGAATTTGTGACCACCCACAAGGACTTGGCGTGATTTGAGTCGATATATCAGTCTTAGTTAGCAAATTGAGCATACTTCTGGATCGATAATCTGGCCATAGCAATACTGAACCGACTTATATGAATCCTGTGGTTGGACGATGGCTAAAAACCTAGCCTACCAGAACACAATGCCAATCTAGACAGATGAGATTCGTTTTACAACAAGAGAATAAACAAAAGCACAGTTCGAACAGGCGGAAGACCAGCTATCTGTACACGCAAGGCTGAGAGAGGAGGGCAAATGATCTATTATTGTTTCATGCTTCCTCTGGGCCCTCCTCCCTGCCTTGAAAACACAATATGCGCACACATACGCAAGGAACGAGCAGAAAACAAAATTGCACGTTTCTGGATCGACCCTGCGTTCTCAATCCAAGGCGGCAAGCTACCAGGCTATCAGTTCGCCTTGGCAGCCATCATAAAAGCGGGATTGGGTTTTCTTCCGGCGTTTCGGTCCAAGGGTTTCCCCCGTATCGATGCGGTGGAAAGCGAAGGTTATTCGTGGGCCGAATCAATGCGAGGGTTGGATGAAACGCCGGAATCAAGACTCAATGGAAGAGTCGTTTACTTCAGCTCCCTCCAGAGCTTGGGGGCAGCGCAGGCGGTCACGCAGTGAGTGAGGTGGAAGACTGGGGTGGGTTATGTTAGTCGCACGATCGGGACTTGATGGGAGCCAATTCCATGGTTTTGTCTGGTCCCAGATTTGGTGTCAGTTGCACTTACATTCCTCAACGCAGTCCTCCTTGGGGCCCTTGTAGTCCTCATCCTCCTCCTGGCGGGTGACGCGCTCGACGCACTCATCGTAGTGGTGCTTGTAGGGAGCGCAGACGGCAGAGTGGGCGCACTCTGAGATTGATAGTTAGTTTCCGATCGACAAATCCAGTGGAATTCGTCTTTGCAATGCCATTGGCAGTTATATACCCAAGACACGCTGACCCTGACACATAAGACCAATGGGTGCGAACAGATCACGCTTCACGATCGCATGACATCGGCAAAATTAAAAAATAACAGCAAGGTCACTCACCCTCCTCGAGCTTGGGCTTGATGTCCTCAGGCTCATCCTCCTCCTCTTCTTCCTCTTCCTCCTCCTCGGCCTCAGCCTCCTCTTCCTCGGGAGCCTCCTCGGAAGATTCCTCCTCAGCGGGGGTCTCCTCAGCAGACTCAGTCTCGGCGGTCTCGGTGGAGGCTGCCTCCTTCTCGGCGGGCTCTTCCTGGGTGGTGGTCTCGGTCTCGGTGTCTTGAGCAGGAGCCTCAGCCTGGGCCTCGGTGAACCCGAAGGAAGAGACAACGTCAGAGAAAAAGTCGGAGAGACCCATTGCGACAGAGATCAATTGAATGATGACCGGAGGTCTTGTGTGGGGGTGGAAAAGCGGAAGGGGGTTGTAATTGAGGGAGGTTGTTGGTTTTGCCCAAGAGCTGCTTCTTTCGGACTGGAAAATCGGAAAGGCCCGGCCGCTGAGAGACGCCAATTATGCCGCACGTGATTGGCCAGTGGGCTCCAACGCCATTTGGGGAACCTGACAGTGCAGTTTATGGGGAAGTTAATACTGGAGTTATTTCTGCTTGATCCAAGGATCTCCGAGATATAGGGTATTTCTACTATTGTTTGTCGGGAATAACGTTGGCGGGCATATCGTCTCTTTCATTTCTAAGTGAGCACCGCTTTGTCGCTAATTGGTAATTGATGAGATAATGTACATGAGAGAATAAAAGCGAGGCCAGTTCGAGTATGTGATATAATGGCATGTTGAAATAGACTTTCGCTTCATACCAAATAAATTAGGTGGCCCGTCGCAGCCTCTCCTCCAGCTCGTGGGCTACACTCTGCGACTGAACCTCCTCGTAACAAGGAGGCGGCTCAACAGGTTCGGTACCTGTGTCAGATGCTCGACTGCTTTGCGACTCTTCTGGTGTCTCGATGGGTCTAGCGTTTTGGCTAGCATTAGGCGGGGCTTCATATGCTGGCAATTCTTCCAAATGAACTGCTGAGAGATCCACGTTTTGTTGTCCCCGAGTCCCCTCGCTTGTGTTTTCCACAGCCTGCTCAAGTCGTTCTTTGATCCGCTCAAAGTTGGTGTGGAAGTCAAAGGCTCCGCCCTCCTTGAATGTTACTTTCAATTGAACGGCAGGCAGGGACGGTGAAATGCCACCCCCAGCTACTGGTTGCACCAGAGCTGTCCATACATTCGGTCCAAAGAATGGCGCAGATACATGGGAATCACGGACATTCAAAAGAGGTGACGAGAAGGACTGGAAATCATTGCTTCTGGATGTGGGAAGATAGACAACCTGTCGAGTGTTAAAAGGGGGAAGATATGGACATGAATAGTTACTGACTCTTTGGTTGGTGAGGTGAATGCAGCCGGCACTGCTTTGAATTGAAAGTTTTTCTGTGCCCTTGTATCCCGATGGCGGAGTCAAAGAGACACTAGTACGAGGAGGGGAGGAGTAGATCAACCGTTCGTTGGGAAGACGGACGAAGCCGTCCTGGTCATCAAGCATTACCCAACTAGGCAGTAGTCAGTATAGATGCTTATATAGGTCTGGTCCTGGCTGACCCCGGGGAGAAACTGCCATAGATAATTGAGGCATATGGAGCAGAGGCATAGGGAGAAGAGGCATAGGGAGAAGAGGCATACTTGAGAGACATGATGCGAGATCATTCCAGGTGCATGTGACACAGTTCTTATCAGCCTAACCCTCCGGAGGGTGGTCAGGTTGGATGAAGATGAAAGACGGGGGATGTGGAAACTGAGGGATAGATCAAAAGTGAGAAATTTCCCAAAGCTCAAAAAGCTGTTCAAAGGGTATCAAGTGAAGTTGTAACAATATCAAAAGGAAGTGAAGTGGAAAGGCGGGGCAGGCGGGGAGAGATAAACCTGCAGGGGAAACTTGTACGTTGTGTATTGTAGAAATTGCTTTTTGTTTTTATTTTTTGTTATATATGTATATAATTTTAATTACATTATATTATGCAGTTGACTACGGAGTATATCAAGCGTGTATATTTAAAACTCGTGGACCTATACTATTCTCCACCGTGTTAAGCTTACTCGTTTACGCACTTCAATATGCGCTTGGCTATAGCTTCCAGGCCGATCCCATCCAAAAAAAAAAAAAAAAAAAAAAACAAGCCGCATAACGCTTTGATCGTCGTATCCCAGTTTACTACGTATGCGTTGGATTATCTAGACAGATCTCAAACTAGGGATTGTTCCTTAGGTATGTAGGTATGTTGCAAATGTTGCGCACTGGCCTGTGCTGGGAAAGGGTCATAGGGATATCAAAGGTTTTCTATGATCATATTAGCTTATGTCGGACGTGGGATCCATGTAGAATTTAGATTATACAGAGAATAAGAGAATAAGAGAATAGGTACTTTAGTTCCAAGTCGAAATTCAAGTTAACTTCCAAGGTCTAACATGTCACGTTCTAGAAGCGTCCGAGTCAAAGCGCGCTAAGACTCCAAACTTTCCAACATCCAACTCCCCCGCTCTTCTTCTACTTCTCTCATGCTCTGATACCTTGTCTGTCAGAGATATCGGATAAGTAGTGAGGCTCGAAACAGCCAAGTAGGTGGTTCCCAAGCTCTTCCGGTTATCCGTACTCACATTCATCTTTTCTCAAGGGACTACATGTCGATACAATCATAACCATTTCACGACTCCCCAGCCTTCTTTTCCCCCCGAAACTGCCCATTGGGCTCCTACGGCACAATGGGAGAAAATGGCCAGTACATCCCACCCCTCGTTGGGTGGATGTATGATTTGGTCCTTTGGTCATTCTCCGTGCTCATCGACCTTTTCTTCCGCGAGGTCCACCCCCGAGGCTCATGGAAGATCCCCCGCCGCGGTCCCATCATTCTAGTGGCAGCTCCCCATGCGAACCAGGTATGCCGCTCGCTTCCGGTCCCACACACACATGCTAATGATGGATGTTCGCCTAGTTTGTGGATTCTTTGGTATTGATGCGCGTTATTCGCACCGAAGCGCAACGCCGGATCTCATGGCTTATCGCGGACAAGTCTTTCAAACGCAAGTTCATTGGATTTCTGGCGAGGGCAGTTGGAACACTACCCGTGGCACGTGCTATGGACAACTTGAAACCCGGGACCGGCATCATCTATCTTCCCGACCCGATCAACGAGCCAACTCTGCTGCGAGGTATTGGAACCAACTTTGAAGGGAAAGGCTTCGAAAAGGATGGAACTATTGCCCTACCCACCATCAACGGAACGTCACACAGTACCGCGATCGCTGAGATCAAGGGACCGGAGGAATTGGTGCTCAAGAAGGCTTTCAAGCACAGAGATGCGCTAACCCAGCTTACTGGAAGGGAAGACATTGATCGTGATGGAAAGTTCACTGGAGATGCATCCAAGCAGAATCCGAATTTCAAGGGCACCAAATTCAAGGTTGCTCCGCATGTGGATCAGACCGCAGTCTATCAGGCAGTATTCAAAAGACTGGGCACAGGAGGCTGTGTCGGTATCTTCCCGGAAGGTGGAAGCCATGATCGCACTACACTGCTTCCCTTGAAAGGTAAGGTCTTCGTGTTTAAGATATCCCGAGAGATTTACTAACATGATACAGCTGGTGTCGCCCTGATGGCTCTAGGCACCCTGGCTGAGAACCCGGACTGTGGTTTGAAGATCGTGCCTTGTGGCATGAACTATTTCCATGCCCACAAGTTCCGCTCCAGGGCCGTTATTGAGTTTGGTACTCCAATTGAAATTCCCTCCGAATTGGTGGAGCAGTTTAAGCAAGGTGAACGACGGGAGTCTGTCGGTGCTTTGCTGGAAATCATCTACGGAAGTCTCGTCTCGGTCACTGTCACCAGTCCCGATTATGAAACTCTGATGGTAGGTTTCTTCTTGTTTCGAGAAATTTGCGTCCGCTAACAATTCAAAGGTCATCCAAGCTGCCCGTCGTCTGTACAACACCAAAGGCAAAAATCTCCCTCTTCCTATGGTTGTGGAGCTGAACCGCCGTCTTGTGAAAGGTTACGCCCACTTCAAAGACGATCCCCGGATTGTCGACCTACGCAAGTCTATTGTAGGATATAACAAACAGCTTCGTATTCTTGGAATCCGGGATCACCAAGTGGCCTACGCCAAGTTCTCCATCTTGCAGGTGGTGGCCACGTTGATCTACCGCCTAGGGAAATTAGCACTTTTGGCAATCGGAACGCTCCCCGGTTTCCTGCTCTTTACCCCCGTTTTCATCGCGACCAAGTATCTCTCGGCAAAGAAATCCAAGGAGGCACTGGCTGCTTCTACAGTGAAACTTCAAGGCCGAGATGTCATGGCCACATGGAAGCTTCTTATTGCTCTTGCATTTGCTCCGGCACTCTATGCCTTTTACACTGCTGCTCTCACTTACTGGACGTACTGGAACCGAGTCAATGGAATGGTTCCAGACTGGGTGCCACTTTGGTCGGTAGTGATGATCGGTATGGTACTCTTCCCCACAATCACATTTGCGGCTCTTCGGATCGGTGAAGTGGGCATGGACATCATCAAGTCACTTCGCCCGCTTGTTCTGTCTCTGAACCCATCATCGGCCAATACGCTAGTGAAACTTCGAGAGAGACGCGCTGCACTAGCTCAGCAAGTGACAGACGCGATCAATACCATGGGACCTGAGCTGTTCCCCGACTTTGATGCCGCTCGCATTGTCACCGATCCATTCCGAGACGCGAGCCACCCCGATACCAAGGGCGGGAACGAATTACCGGGGATTAGAAGAACCAGCGTGGCAGACCATGGCGAGAAAATGCCCTCGTCAGAGCCTCTGCCCCGCAACGAGTCCTTCCACAACCTGGCCAATATTGGCTTCTTCTCCACACGACCTCCTAGTCGGGATCGTAGCCGCAGCAGATCTGCTAGCACCCGACCTGGGTCTCGGCACGGACTAAAGCCGCTCAGCGCTCTCACCACGAAAGACCCGCTTGAGGACGTCAGTTCACGGATCCGCGATGCCATGAGGGAGCGTGGAGAGCGTCGTCGGCGCCGAAGTGAAGACGGAAGCTGGGATATGGCCAGCTCAGGCCCTGGAACTCCCTCCAGCACTGAGGAGTTCCGAAAAGATCTTTGAGGTGTGAACCGCCTGGATCATCTAATCATTTATCATACCGGGCATAACCATGGTGTTCGGCGCGAAGCTGTGTAACTACGTATTTGCTCTTATATAATCATGTAAGATATCCTCTCTGTTTTATTTATGATCATGAATATCATCAAACATCCACAGGTTTCAACTAATGAAGAAATCTAATACACGTAATCAATACATTTGTACGGAGTACAGATCATCCCATAATGACTGTGCTATAGTCACAGACAGTATAAGATGGGTAAACCCGGCCCAACGCAAGGTGAAAGGGGTCAACCCCTGGTTATACAATAGAATAGTGTCTATATATTATAGACTATTCCGTACTCTTATGTTTTTAGTTATAAACCGGAGAAAAAAACCAACGCATGGAAGGACATCGGAGTGTTTCTTAACGTCCCTTATATCATAAGTTAAATCGCCGATGATTCATTTTCGCCTCGCCACTTCTGAGAAGGGGGCTAAAAAAAGCTAGAATCTAAAAATGCACATGAAAACGATGCAGCCTAGGTAAAATTACATCGCCTCAAAATTCCAAGGTTCTAAATTTGCCCCCCTTATAAGACTTAACTGTCATAACCGACCACGTCGCATTTTGTAGTACAAAGCCGTATCCGGCCGCTAGCCGCCTTTTTACCTTCAACTTCATACACAGTCCTACCCCCAACTTCTCGATTCTTCTGTGGAGTTTAGGGGCTTATATCCTTTCACATATTCATCATGCCGGGTTCATTGCATATGTCGCGTCTCCGAAACTGGTTTCTCGCCTCTCCGCCTGCCGAGTACGCCATCACGAGCCTAAAGGAACTGCTGATCGGCGCAATTCAACAGGGCCCTGTCCCACAGCATGTGGCTTTTGTCATGGATGGAAACAGGCGCTTTGCCCGGTCACATGGAATTGAGACAGTGGAGGGACACAATCTGGGGTTTGAAGCTCTTGCAAGAGTGAGTGCTACGTTTTGCTAGCTCGGGGTTACACGGCAGCACCCGTATCGTGGCCATACTAACAACTGGTAGATCCTCGAGGTCTGCTACAAGAGCGGAGTGAAGGTAGTCACGATCTACGCGTTCAGTATCGAGAATTTCAAACGCTCAAAATTCGAGGTGGATGCGCTCATGGAGATGGCCAAGGTGAAGCTGTCGCAGATGGCTCAACACGGAGACCTACTCGATCGATACGGAGCGAAGGTTCGCGTCCTGGGCCGTCTCGATATGCTCAAACCCGATGTTTTGGAGGCCGTCAACAAAGCTGTCGACATGACCAGCCGCAACGGAGACCGCGTCCTAAACATCTGTTTCCCCTACACCTCCCGCGACGAGATCACCTCCGCTATCCGCGACACGGTAGAGGATTATAGCACGCCGATCGAACAGGGTCGCTCCGCTTCCCGCACCCCCTTCTCGGAATCTCATATCGCACATAATATCCGCGCCCAAACCCTCGGCTCAACAACACACGACTTACACAGTGATTCTGAGTCTACGTCGGGATCTTCAGGGCAGGAGGATGATGCATCTCCTCCACATGACTCCGACC